TGGCTGCAATGCTCAAAACACAGTGACCCACCTTGCTGGGGGGTCCCTGCCGAGGTCACCCGACGTGACATCCTCACCCACATCCTCCCCCAGTTTCCCCAACAAGCAGCAGAAGGTGCAGAGCTCAATATCAGTGTGACCAGCCCACACCACAGCGTGGTTGTCCCACAGCTCTTCCCAGCTCCCTGCAGCACCAGCCAAGGCTGAAACAGCCCAAACGTGGCCTGACACTGTCACTGCCACGTGGGACAAGTCAGTCCCACTCCTCAAGAAGCTGCTCAAGAGCCCACGATGGGGGTGAATGCTGCGTGGGTGGGTTCCTCAGGGGGGACGTGGCTGCTCCTGAAGCTCCTGAACCAGCTGTGATGGTTTCTTCTGAGTGTGCAGGTCGTGTGCAGATCGAGGAAGGAGCATCACTCCGTATCGATCTCCTACGTGCTGAGGACCAAGGCTGGTATGAGTGCCGTGTGCTCTTCCTCGACCGGCACAGCACCGACGCCGACTTCCAGAACGGTACCTGGATCCACCTCACCGTTAACGGTACCGGTTGATCCCACCCTCAGTCACTGCTTTGTCCAGCACCAGCCAAGATCTTTCAGAGCTGGGGCTGAATTTACTGGTCTTCCAAGATCAGCTGAGCCAAACCTGTGAGTGAAGCTCTGGATTTGACTTTACAGCACCCCCCACCTTCCTGGAGACCCCCCCTGCATTCGTGGAGGTACGAGACCAAGACACGCTGAGTCTTACTTGTACGGCTGTTGGCAACCCCCAGCCTGTTGTCATCTGGAAGAGGAGTGACCTGGCTGTCCCAAGTGGGGACACAGTGCAGGTGAGGACAGCAAGTCACTGCTTACCCCACCATGATGTGCTGCTTACCCCACCATGATGTGCCCCCCACCTCAGCTGGGGTCTCCTGCAGCACCCAGAGCAACATGATTCTGCTTGGCTGGAGAGCAGATGCCTGTCCCCATTGTGGTGGCACTACCTCCTGCCACCAGCCCTGCCCACCTGTCCTGTCCCTCGGTGGCTGTGTCACACACCTGGTGCCGTTGCAGGTGAGGAATGGGACACTGAGCATCGCTGTAGTGGAACGTGCCAGCGCAGGCACCTACACCTGCCACGCATCCAGCAAGGAGGGCACCATCACCCACACCACCCGTGTGCTCGTGCAGGGTAAGAGCTGGTGCTCTCCCAAACCTGCCTGCGTGGGCCACCCCACTGGGTGCTACCACAGGGGCACGGAGGGAACCACGTCATGAGGTTGGTTTTGGGGCAGGCAGAGGGTTTTGGGAGCAGCTGGGGGCATCCCTATGTCCCCAGCCCTCACCATCACCTCTGTGCCACACTGCAGGGCCACCCATCATTGTGGTGCCACCTCAGAACATCACTGTCAACATCTCCCAAGATGCCTTTCTGGCATGCCAGGCTGAGGCTTACCCAGGAAACCTCACCTACACCTGGTTCCAGGGCAGCAGCAATGTCTTCCACCTCAGGTATAGCAGGGATGGAGGTGACACCAAGGTGGCTGCGGGGTCCTGCTGGCAGCGCTGGGACCAGCAGGCTGCTGTGACCCTGTGAAACCTGGATCTGAGTGTGATGAGCTGGCTGGGTGCATGGCAGGGGGGGTTCACTCATCCCAGGGCAGTGGGGGTGGTCCCAGCCGTGCTGCTCACCACTTCCCTTCCCTTGCAGTGGTCTCCAGGCTCGGGTCCGCATCCTGGTAGACGGGAGCCTCTTGCTCCAGCAAACGACCCCGGATGATGCTGGCAAATACACTTGTGTCCCCAGCAATGGGCTGTGGAAGCCACCTTCTGCCTCAGCTTTCATCACAGTGCTGTGTAAGGGCCCCACAGCCCCTCAGCTGTGCTGTCACCAGTCCCCTGCCATCCTCACACAGGTCCTGACACCTTATTTGATGATAAGCTTTGAGCTCATCACGCTTGGATGAGGCTTTGAGCTACCTGGTCTAGTGGAAGGTGTCCCTGCTGATGGCAGGGGGGTTGGGACTAGATGATCTTCAAGGTCCCTTCCAATCCTAACCATTCTATGATTCTATTTGTCCTCATAGATCCAGCACAGGTGACCACCATGCTCCCAGAGACCCACCTACCCAAGGGGATGCAGGGTGTGATCCGCTGCCCTACCAGAGCCAACCCCCCTCTGCTCTCCGTCACCTGGACAAGGGATGGGCAACCACTGGAGCTGGACAAGGTACTGCTGCTTCTTCCCTGCCTCCCTACCCACCTTGAGCTCCTCATCTTAACCCTGTGCCCATCATCTCCCAGCTCCCTGGCTGGTCCATGAGACCAGATGGCTCCATCGTCATTGCGACGGGGAACGACGACGCGCTGGGGGTGTACACGTGTACCCCCTACAACAGCTACGGCACCGCCGGCGAGTCCCAGCCCACACGTGTCCTGCTCAAGGTCAGCTTCCTCACCTTGAACCTCCCAACCCAAGCTGCTCCCACCCTGCTCTGGGTCTTCACCTTGTCCTACCTGCTGCCAAAGCCTCACGCTGTGTGTTTCTTGTCTTCCAGGACCCCCCTGCCTTCACGGTGCGCCCCAAAGAGGAATACTTCCAGGAGGTGGGTCGGGAGCTGGTCATCCCCTGTGCAGCCCGTGGAGATCCCACTCCAACTGTCACCTGGCTGAAGGTAGGAGCTGCTGCTCTGGAGAACCAGCTGAGCCCTCCTGAGAGGTGGATGCTTCTTTTGGTCCCTGTGTCATAGAATCATTGAATGGTTTGGGTTGGGAGGGACCCCAAAGCTCATCCAGTCCCAACCCCCCTGCCAGCAGCAGGGACACCTTCCACTAGACCAGGTTGCTCAAAGCCTCATCCAACCTGGCCTTCAACACTTCCAGGGAGGAGCAGCCACAGCTTCTCTGGCCAACCTGGGACACTGTCTCACCACCCTCACACCAAAGAATTTCTTCCTCAGATCTAATCTAAACCTCCCTCTTTCAGTGACCCTGTAGCATCTGTGTCCCCACACATGTGTCTGTCCCCACAGATGTTACAGGGTCACATTTCTCCTGGTTCCTGCAGGAGAAGGAGTTCAGGACACTTTGCTTGTGTTGCCTTCTAAGAAATCAAGGCAAAATCCTGTCCCTTAGTTCCTCCATCAGGGTGGTGGATCGTGTTGGTTGTCCCAGTCCTGGGTGGTTGCCCACTGGTCAATGTGTCCCTGCTTTGTTGTGCAGGTGGGTAGCACTGGGAAGAGCAGTGCCCAGGTGGATGGGAATGGCAGCCTCATCTTCCACCCACTTGTCAAGGAGCAACACGGGGTCTGGGAGTGCACAGCTACCAACCAGGTGGCCAGTGTCAGCACCACCACCTCTGTCCATGTGCTGGGTGAGTTGCCAGTCCCTGATGGGTAGATGCTGTAGGTGCTGAGCTGCCCTGGGGTGGGTGACACCAGCTTCCCTGTGCTGGAAGGGATGGAAATGTCCCTGCACAGCTGTTATCTGAGCCATCTTCCCTCTGTTACCCCCACCAGGTACCAGTCCTCATGCTGTCACCAACGTCTCTGTGCTTCCACTCCTGCTGGCAGCCAACATCTCCTGGGAGCCAGGGTTTGATGGGGGCTTTTTCCAGAGGTTCAGCGTCTGGTACACACCACTGTGAGTCTTCACTGTGGGGAGGGTCTGATGTCCCACCTGGGGACTCCCTCAGCTCTGGATTCACAGGTCCCACATCTCTTCAGGGTGAAGCATCCACCCCGAGTCCATCGTGACTGGGTGTCACTCTCTGTGCCAGTGGGGGCTCAACATCTCTTGGTGGACAATCTGCAGCCAGATGTGAGCTACCAGTTCAGCGTCCTGGCCCAGAACAAACTGGGCAGTGGCCCCTTCAGCCAGATTGTCACCTCTGTCCCCAAGGGTAAGAGGGAATCTGTGTGCTCCCCAAAGCAGCCTCTGTCCCCCTAGAACCCTCAAGCACATGGGAGACCCCTGTTTGCTGTCCCCCCACATCAGCATACCCTTTCTCCTCAGGCTTCCCAGTGACCACAGTGCCTCCAGAGCCACCAGCCATGACCATGAGCATCTTCCTGTCCCCGCCACAGGCTCTGACCGCCAACGAGACTGTGCGTGGGGTCCTGCTGCAGTGGGAGCCCCCAGCTCAGTTCTCAGTGGCACTGAGTGGCTACGGGCTGGAGCTACGACAGGACAAGGGCAGTTGGGAGGTGCTGGATCGTTCCATCCCCAGCACGAAGACCCAGGTCCTGGTGCCTGGACTCATCAAGGTGGGAATTTCTCCAGGTACTCCCTGGCTGGGAGGCAGCTCTAGGGGAAGGCAGCAAGAGAAAGAGGGGGTGAGATCTTCTGTGTTGCTGCTACCCAGAACAAGGGGCTCTGCAGCTGTGTGGGCTGAGGCTTGGCTGGCTACCAGGCCAGAAAGGCTAATGGCCATCTTCTCCTCCTCCCAGGACGCCTTCTATGAGTTCCGACTGGTGGCCTTTGCTGGCAGCTACATCAGTGATCCCAGCAATACAGTGAATGTCTCCACAGCAGGTAGGGCCTGGGCTGCCACCTGCTTGACTTTCCCACCCTGGGGATAAAAAACCAGAGGTGTAAAATGCCCCTGGCGTGGTCTAGGGTCTTCTCAAACAAAAACCCCTTCATGCTACTCCCATCCCCTGCTGTTAGACCAGGGGGTGCAGCCCCCAAAGTTAACACCACAGGAACACCCCAGATCTGGTGTGACTTCAGTCTCATGGACCAGGTAGCAGGAGAGCTCTGCACAGAGCATCCCTGCTCCTGGCACCTGGTGTGGCAGAGGACACAGGTCCACCTGAAGGCAGATCAGCCCTGAGGAGGGAGAGAGCTGAAGCTTTGCTGTTTGTGGTGCTGGTGACAGGAGGGTGGCTGTGTCCGCTGTGCTGTGTGCTCCATGGGGTAACCAAGCCTCTGATGGTGTCTCCTCACTGACCCAGGCATGGAGGTGTATCCATCTCGTACCCAACTGCCAGAGCTTCTGCCACAACCAGTGCTGGCTGGAGTCATTGGGGGGATCTGCTTCCTGAGCGTGGCTGTCATCTTCAGCACCATGGCTGCCTGCATCATGAACCGCCGGCGTGCCGCCCGCATCCAGAAGCGAAGGCAAGGTAGGAACCAGCTGGCTGGGGACAGGTACCTGGATCCTGAGGCTCCCAGAGAGCTGGGAACACTCTGTGCAAGGAGGGGACAAGCCCACCCAGGGCTTGGGGGGAGCTCACTAGGGGTAGTAGTAGGGTTGAGTGGATGTCACCATCTCCTCATCATCACTTTTGAGTTGCTCGCCCTGTGATCCCATTGTGTTCTCATGACCTTCCAGATCCACCACTCGTCTTCTCCCCCAGCAAGAAGCTTCTTCCTCCACAGTAAGTCATCTCATGCCATGTTCCCACCCTGTTGTGCTGCACTCCCCATCGTTCACTGGCTGGGGCAGAGGGACAGAGCCAGGGGCAGCTGCCACCCCCCTTCCACCACCGTTGGCCAAGGGCTGGTCCTGCCACCCCCCTTCCACCGTTGGCCAAGGGCTGGTCACAGAGGGGGTGTTGGTTAGGAGCAGGGTGCTGGAGTCAGGGTGTGCCATGGGATGAGGAGTTGGGGTGCTGGGGTCAGGATGTACCAGGGGGTTAGGAGTTGGGGTCAGGGTGTGCCATGGAGTTAGGATTTGGGGTGCTGGGGTTAGGAGTTGAGGTGCTGGGGTTAGGAGTTGGGGTGTGCCAT